ACATTACATTTTAAACTATTTATCTCCTCTGTGAAGCTCTATAAATACAGTCTGACACAAAAAAAAGGCTCCGTTCCCTGAACACAACTCAAGTCGTTTATAATCATCTGACCAGAAGCAGTCAGCAAAGACTCCGGGAAGTTTATTAATAAGTAAAGGCATTAAAACAACATATAAAGCACATTAAAACATAAAATGGAGTTAATATTCAGTAGAAGAAAAATAATTAAACAAACTCTGCCTTCGCTCTTCATGGAGAGCAATAAACCTGCCCGTTTCTTTTGGCCAATGGTTGTGAACATTAATGCAATTAATGCATCCATTTAGACTCAAATAGACCATAAAGCAGGGTATTCTTTAGGGCGGGGCTACAAGGTGATTGACAGGTCACTGCCACTACCAGAGACGTATCCGAAGTCACTCCGTCACTCCTCCACATTCCAGATAATATATCAGTTGTGAAAATAACAACATGGCGACAGCCGTATTCCAAAATAGCGAAGGCGAAATCGCCTGAATCGAGGCTTCAAAACATCAGTCCACAAACCAACAGGATACGTCACGATGACTCCGTCCACTTCTTATATACAGTCTATGGTTTGCACCTACATCAACCGTCTTTCTTTATACATGCAGAACAATTGTCAGGAAATCTACTCTATAGTAGTTTTGAAATGCACAATTTCACTCCACTAGTTTAAGGATTTTCATGCGAAATGTCCCGAGTAAACATCGACGTCGATCCTAGATGAGTGATTGCTACAGTAAGCAGGCCAATCTTTGCGGCTTTGCTGCAGTAGATAACTGGGACTCTGCCGTACACCAGCTTACATATGGAGCGTTAGCCGCTATCGCCAGTTAGCAACGGCATCAGTCTCCCTCCTAGCCGTCTGTGAGCCTTCGATCAATAGACCCTGGATTATCATCTTCAGTATCTCGATTCATTTTTCACAGCGGAGGAAGGCCTCCGCCAGCTGCTCTCTCTTTTTCAGAGGGTGTAGGGCCTAGTTCCCTGCATCTGATAAGATTACAGCAACTAACCGCCAAAGCTGCTGCGTTCAGGGGCGACACGTATTCGCGTCATGCACCGTTTTCTTACAATGCTTATCGGTACATCACTAAATGTTTATTTAACAGGCTGGCGAGCTAGTCAGTACAACAGTCACATTCGAGATGGGAATCCCATGACTACCCGTGCTTAATTAAATGTTTAATTAATACGGTGGCTTTTAATTAAAATTAGATTGTTATGAAATAAGGATTATTGGCGAATGGAATGGATAGGATATCTTCGAATACAATCCGTGTATTATTAAGAGCAAGGTATGATTTTCTATGAATCAGCGACTGTTAATTAAGGGCAGCAGATGCCCTTTGATTTAACCATGGAATAGACTTTTTGATGAGATTCAAGAAACACCGAAATGGTCTTGGCTGGCTTTGTGAAGTGTCTTACACGGAGCGGTATGTTCGCCTGGGGTGATGCTTTCATCTGAGACTTTGAAATGTGAACCAACAATGCTGCTCTTGTGTCCCCAAGGTCAGCCCACTTGTAACCACTCGCCCACGAGGGCCCTCGTCACCAAACAGACACAAGAATCCACTTGAATCTCTCCTCAATGTGGGGCTCGGCACTTAGCTGTGCAGTACGTGCTCGGATGGTCTTTGTGGACCAGCTGGTGGCTGGTTTGGGTCTAATCCAGCTGTTTTTTTTCTTTTTTTTTACTGCCCAAAACCGTGCAGACACCCTCAGCTTTGCAGTCGTTTCAAGGGCACGTTGATCCACTAAAAGTCACCGAACCCTTTAGATGAGTGGACGGTTCTTAAATGTATGGCCATGTACGTATGGTGGTAGGTCAGGAGGATGCTCACGTAGGCATGGGAAGAGCAGCCTGTGTGAATGAGGCCATTCATTTATAATCCACGGGATTAGGACTCTGTGCATCAGCTGCCTCCGTCACTTACTGTACATTGCCCCGTAGAGGCCTTCCTTCTGTCTGTTGGCATGCTTTGATTGGGATTCTTGAAGGCGGTGTCAATGTCACAGTTTGCTTTTTCACAGATCTGATAAATCCTATTAGTTTTGGGTTGGGTCCAATTTGGACCACTTCCTCTTCTATGCCAAATGAAGCAAGAATTCCCCGGCTGTCTTTAATTGCTTCAATCTTCCTCCCAAAGCTTTGTTTCTTTTAGATCTGTGTGTTTGAACCATGTGTCCTTAGTCTGGCCTCGACGAAGCCTACAAAAGCAACCTCCTTTCCAGGTTCAAAGCAGAGCTCCTGCTCACAGCCCGTGGCCTTGAATGTGTGTCTCTGGCCATCTAACGATCATAAATAGTAACGTTGTTCTCACCGAGTTAATTGCTTGAGTTCTAGGATCATCCTTAAAGCACAACGAGCAGCCGGATGATCAAACGTTTGGAACAACCCTTGAGATCAGACAAATATATTTGGAAGAGAAATCAAAGATTTTTTTTTTTTGCCCCAAACAAAATTCCTGGTTCAAAGTAAAGCTGTGTGTCGGAACTAACACCAGAATCCTGGTGATCTAAAATTGTCCTTTGTTTGCCTCAATTTTATTCTCCAAGCTTTTTATTTAAACCCATTTCATTTCATTAGAACAAAGTGTAGCAGTGTGACTCTACAGTCAGAGTCTGCCCACCATGCAGACGCTGAAGCTCCTTCCTTCGCCCGACCATGAAAGGCAGGGTGCATCTCAGCGTAAACAGCTCTGCTGGCAGCCCAGTCAGCGAGCCACAGTCCCGATATTGAGTCCCAGAGACACTCCACTCAACAAAGCCACGCTGTGACCTTTTCAGCCTCACACACCGGTGCCAGATATTGAGTGATCCTGTCCAGAGGATGAAGCCCATCTCGGACTAAAACTCAGCCCGCTGCTCTCCCCTGTCTCTGGGGTTTATTGGGGGGTTTTTTGGCACTACATTTGTATTACACTGTTGCTCTTTCTTTGATTGATTTACGGTGTTTTGTCCGACTAGAAGATTGGATGTCTTTGATCCCTTTATTTGAGTTTCTCCTCTCTTCAGTCTCTCGGGCAGCATTCTAGTACATAGGATGGGTCTATAGGTTGCCTTAATGATGATATACTTTTGATTACAGGGATGAGGGATCGTCTCAGGGGAGGGAACATCTTTCATCTGACAATCACTGGACTTAATTTCAGACTGAATCATTGTGTTTCTTTATACCGTGGACTTATTTTGATCCACGGCCTCTTCCCATGGTCCAGCCATCTGTTTACAGCTTACCCACGATTAGATATGAGGCTTTCTGTTGAGGCCTTGACCCACAGCCACAGGGTCTCACATATACCTCCCATCAGGTCAGCTGTGCTCTAAAGAGGCCAAGCGGCTGTGTTACATATCACGGTGATTAACAGGATCACACATGACAGGTCCCCGGTCTCTCACAGGGCTGACCGGCTCTGGCTTTTCCGTTGTGTGCGTCTGGAGCTCATAGCTCTGTAAGTTGGCGGTGCTGCTGTGTTTTATGTTCTAGCATTATCAACCCGCACTATCTGGTTGTTTTGTGATGGATGAAATGAATTTAGGCAGTTATTGCAGTGATGTTACGCCCAGATGGAGTCCTGCTTTGACCGCATGAAGATAAATTGATATACTAGTCATAACCCAGCTAAGATGGATGTGGTTTGTTTATTCTTTTCAAGAATTTTTTTTTTTTTTTTTTTTTTGCACATCCTGTTTTTTTACAAACCTGCATTTTAATCGTGTCACTCAACAAATTCAGTTCAGAGGTTATAATGCTGACCTTTAGCTTTTCTTAAGCAGAACAAATAGGTTCACTAAACTAAACTAAGAGGAGCTGCGGGACTGGGAAGAGTTGCCTGTTTTGACCTTTTGAGTTTTCGAGATAAGAAAGTCTCCGGGAGTTTCCTGGCAGAGTTAGAAAGTTGAGAAGTCGAGCTCGGAGTCGACGCTCCCCCGCTGGTCCTTCATTCACCGACGCCGACACAGAGGGGAAATGTGTTAATTACTTTCCTCTGTAGGAGGCCGTTATATTCAACACTAACCTGTCTTCTCCTTTATACGGTCGTGTTATATTTCTCTCCATTTATGAGCTCAGGGACGAGCTGGAGCTGAGCTGCCTCTGTTGATGGTCCTTATAATAGGAAAAGAAGCATCTACTCAGCTGGATGGATGTCAAGAATGAAACGTGATGTATGAAGTGTGGTCAACACCTCCTCTCTGAAACCAATGCTCGGGTTCAGTTCAGTTTAAAGTGGCTCAACATTCTCAAAACTAAAACAATAAACTACAGGAAGAGATAACAAATAATATACTTAACCAACAGTTACTGAGAGGACAAGAGGTTTATATTCTGATTAACAGGCTCCGCCCCAACTTTCACTTTTATTTTACCGTTGGAATATTTAAATCTGTTTTAATAAAAGAAAACTCCACCGTCAATAAAATGACTTTTTTATTTATGTTGGGGTTGGTTTAATATATTTCATCATCGAACATATAACATGAAATATAGATCCAGTGAATGACCAGCTAGAGAGTGAGTTTGTTCAGTGCACCATGAGGGAGTTACACTGAAGGCAGCATTGTTTGATGTGAGCACCGCGGGGCTGCAACAGACAATAGCGGTGCGCTAGTTGAATGATATGAGGCCGGGGGGGGGGTGGTACTGCTCACCGGTCACCACTAGGCTTTGTTCATTGTATTGAATAATACATCAGAGGTGCATTAGTTTGATTGATATTGCTGTTGGCCCTGCTGTGAGCCCGCTCACGTTCTATCCGGCCTGAACGTAGCCGCGTTGCTTTTCCAGAGTCGAGAGTGCATTTGATCAATCGGGGGACGGAGCATGTTGGGTTTTAAAGAACTTGGTCCTGCAGGCCATTTCCGCCTGCGCTGATGGAACCAGGTCACTTTGTTCACAATGGACCTCTCACACTCATCAATCTCCCCCCCTCCCCCTTTTCTCTCTCTCCTCTTTTTTTTACCACAGTAGCCGGCTAGCACCTAGCAACCACGACCGGATACAGAGGCTGAGGCACGAGTTCCAGCAGTCGCAGACCATCCCGGACGACCCCGAGGACCGCAGGAGGACCTACAGCTTCGAGCAGCCCTGGGTGAGTGTCTGACATGACGGGGGCCTGTGACTCAAATCCACTGCAGGCCGGAGAGGATGGCTACCACACCGAGACTCTGCACGTGTATCTTCCACGCTAGCCTGAGGAGAATGCTAACAGCGTTAGCACCAAACAGAACCCTGGGCTAGCTGGAGTATGGTGCTAACCATCACTAACCCCACTACTACCAGCCGTGAACAAGACTGATGATCCCCACTAGATCACTATTAACCTCCATCGGCCTTCCTGGCTAATTGTGCTAACGCTAACACCCCCTCCCCCTCACCCTCCAATGTTCAACCTGCCTGCATGCAGGAGTTTGCACACCTCCTGATGCATCCATCACTAACCCCACCCACCTGTCACAGCCCACTGTACTCATCCATCGTCCCCCCGTTTTTGTCTGTCAGTTTTCATGATGGACTCGGGTTTGTCTTCACATTGTTTGTGTGTACGGGGTCTCATCTGTAGAACCTTTGTTTAAACTGTGCCTTTTTACACTTTCACGGTCGGCTCGTGTACATTTTAAACTGGCATTTATTTAATTGAAATCTCCTTCATGCATTCTGAAGCAGCAAGGGGTTAATAATAAGCGAACAAAGAAGCTGAATGCCTTCACATTTTCTCGGGGTGATGAAATCGCTCATCCTATTTTTAGTATTTATTTTAGTCCTCCCTGCTTCCTTGCACCTCAACTCAAGTGTACTTGGTTTTAAATTGTTTTGGATAACTCATTATGATGATGTGAACATTAGCTGTAGCTCATTTTAACTCAGATTTTACAATATTTTTCTATTTGGTGGCATCTCTGTGTAATGTGTGTGTTTTTCTATTATTGTTTTACACTCCAAAGGAGTCATCTTCACCGTGATCTTTTATCTAGTTTGGGACAACACACACTCTGTCGCAACATATTCTAATACAAACACATCATGTCACAATACGTATTATAATTGATATATGTTGTGGTGATAAGTGGCACAAACTTGTGTTGTCTCAAACCTGGTGTGTTGTAAATTACGTCCTTTCCAGCGAATAATATGAATCTTCTTTGTTGGTTGTTTCTCCAAACAAGTGTCATTTTGCACACCCAGTGTTTTTGTATATTTACTGTATGAACTCTTTTTATTGCTGGTGTCCACACGACAATGTCCCACTGTAGCTTCGGTGTGCAACGGGAGGATTTAGTCCTGAAGGTTTATAATCGGGATGATAAAGTGAGAGCTCGCGACTCAAGTCATCTGTGCTCTGTTTTTTCTTTTCGAGCTGATTTATTCAATAAAAATGTGTTGTTTTGTTTTGCATTCGGCAGTATTGACCAGCGTCGTGCGTTTCAATGGGCTCGACAGCCGGCATTGTACGGCAGCAGCGGTACAGTGTGGGAAAGAAGAGCGCAGGTCACATCTCTCTTTGTCTCTAAACAGCCGAGCGTGCTCTCAATTAAAGAGCTCAACAATACGGCAGCATTATGTTTGTTTACATCCACTGCAGTGCGTTGGCTGTTGTCGCAAGCCTCGCTTTCCCATGAAACACTCTAAACGTTAAGGATGGCTTCTGAACATTTTAGGGTTATTTGCCGAATGAATATGTTCTCGGGACTATGAGGACATTTTTTCCTGCTAGTTAGTGAGAACCATGCTGGGTTTGGACAGCACTGTTCTTACTGCTTATAAGTGGGCAGGACCTTGATGGGAAAAAGGGACGTCAGAAATATCTCACTATCAATTTATGGATTGTTTGCTCTGGCTGTCAAAGCAATCGTTAACCATGGGAAGAAAATTGGAAACAAAAGAAAAACCCTGAGGTTTGATAAAGAGGAGTACAAACATGTCTCTACCAAACCAAGTGTTTTTAAATATCTAAGCACAAACCACTCCAAGATGTAAATCTAAAGCTTTGTGATGACATAATGAGTAAACAAGTCTGCAGTTCTGACGAAGCATTTCATTCTAACATTCTGCAGGTTTTTATACTTGATGCTAAAGTCTGCACCAAGAATTACTGAGTTTAAATATGTGTGAGTAAATACATGAGCGTAAATGGGCTCATGTATTTACTTACAAATATTTAATGCCAAAGATAAATACTTTATATTTCAAACCATGTTTTCAGCTGCTTTTACTGGGGGATCCACCAGGAACCCTCTGTGGTTCCACACTGGTTTCAGTCTACTGGAACCCTCTGTGGTTCCACACTGGTTTCAGTCTAATGGAACCCTCTGTGGTTCCACACTGGTTTCAGTCTACTGGAACCCTCTGTGGTTCCACACTGGTTTCAGTCTACTGGAACCCTCTGTGGTTCCACACTGGTTTCAGTCTAATCACTCTCAGCCTTGGATGGTAGTTGCATGTTATTAGACTCATGCCCCGGCCATACTGGTTTATATTAAAGAGAATCATTATTTTCAACCTGAATCAATTCAGAATTTTAGCAGAGGTGGGACCAAGGTAGTGTTTCACAAGTCCCAAGTCAGTCTCAAGTCTTAGCACTCAAGTTCAAAGGCGAGACTCGAGTCAAGACCCAAATCCTAAAGTTTGTTCGTGTCGCATCATATCAACTCAACAGATGTCTTTGAACAGCTATATGGGAGCACTAATGATGATGTTGTGCAGCTTTCAGCCAGGCTTGGACACTCAACCTGAGCTTCTCCTCTTTCTATCAAACCTCCAGTGAAGTAGAATTTATCCCACAGCGTTCCCCTCTGTGCTTGATTGGCCCAATTATCCATTTTCAACACAAGCTGTTTTCATAGCCGTCCCTTTTTAGCCACATCATTTCATCACTATATATATATATATATATATATATATATATATATATATCTTTTTTTTTTGCTATGGGAGCCCTCTCCTGCTTTTTCACCATAATTTGGGAGCAGGGGAGGATTGTGGGTAGCACGGTCTAATTCCATCAGGATGACTGATGCCCGCTCTCCCGGCAGCACCACGCCAGCTTCATTGCTCTCATTTATACCACTATGGGAATAGAGGAGTTCATTCACTTGATGTTGGGGGGGTTGAGAGAGAGCATAATATTGCCTCTTGTATTTTACTGTAACATTTTAATGCTGCCGTCATCTGGATCCCTTCGGGTTTTTTCTTCCCGCTCCGCTTATCACGTGTTCTGGTAGATGAGACACATTCCGAGGAATATTCAACACTCCTAAACGGCTAAAGGGATTTCTTTCTCGTGAAAAATATTGTGACTGTAATTTACCTGCAGGGTAATTTTCAATTCAGACGTGGAGTACGAGATGTGTGGGAGGCCGACCCTCCCTCTCAGCTGGCTGCCAGTCTGTCCTTATTGTCAGCCGAGCAGGGAGGCAGTGCCAATCTATCCCAGAGATGATTGCCCCGGCTTCAACTGGTTCAAAGGGGAGCGTCTCTTCAGCACTATTAATGCTTTTATGGTCTTCCCACAAGCTGATGTCCACGGTGCTCCGGCCAGGATCTCAATACGCTGCATGGCCATAAAAGTAATTACACTGGCTTTGAGCTAAGCACACGGTTATTGCACCCACACAGCTAATGAACATCGGAGGAGCGGAAGGAGTTGTGGTACAAGTGTGGGCAGGACATTGAGGTGGTGCTCTGCTGCTGAGAGAGATATTAGTGTGTGTGTGTGTGTGTGTGTACGTGTACTCTTGTACATCTATCTTTGTGCGTACCAATTTTAGACCTTGATAGTGGAAGTCCTCACTTTTTTAAAGGGGACGTTTGGGGGTACGGTTAGCTTTAGGCTGAGTTTTTTGGATAAATCTAGGTGACGGCTTAGTTAGGCACATAGTTCTAATGGATGACGTCCCACACCTTTCCAACTTCTGAATTTGGGGGGGGGGGGTAGCATCCAAAAATGTTCTGTAAGTGACAGTGCAGAGGGGAAAAAGTAGGATTTGAACTTGAAACTACTTCCGTCTCTTTCCATGTGTCGAACGTACTGCGACACCATGAGTGCCATATAGGAGAGAGTGCATGACAGTGTGCGCCATTATCACCATTATGAATTCCGAAATATGTGAGATGACAATGTCCAAGAACACAGAGCTCTTAGAAAAAGATATATATCTATATCTATATCTATATATATGACGTTTGCCTTTAGACCTGGTTGGGAAAACATCTAAACTAGAACCTGAAGTTTTTTGGGGCTCATAACATAAAAATATGAATATGTGTATGTACATTTAATGACTGGCCGGGAGAGTGTGTGTGTGTGTGTGTGTGTGTGTGTGTGTGTGTGTGTGTGTGTGTGTGTGTGTGTGTGTGTGTGTGTGTATACAGGTTAATAGACAAATAAAACAATAATTAATTTAAAATTACATAAAATCATTACGGACTTTACAAATATGCACATCAATCATCATGGCCGTGCTGATGTGCACCTACTGTGACCTAATGACCTGAACAGGTGGTGTTCATCTACGGCTGTGTGGGGGGGGGGGGGGCTGTCACAATGTCAACAGGCCGAGTGTTGTCTCCTTCATTAACACCCACTAACATCCACCTCGTCTCATCACCACCCTGCTCTGAGTCTCCAGCATGGCCCCTCCCTCTGTCTGTCTGTGTCTCACCTTCATTCTGACCTGAGAGGAGACGAGCTCAGGGTGTGTCTGCCCCCGAGCTGACTGCTGGTAAGTGTCTGTGGTTTGGACTTGTGGGGGGGGGGGGGGATCCTGTTTCAGGGACTGCTGCTACTTTTATTTGGCTACTGTGTGAAAACTCCGAGTCCAGTTGTGGTGATTTTCATGCTTTGAATTTAAACAGAGGGATCATGTGTCACATGTTTTGTCTTTGTCAATTTCTTGCGATTTTCTGATTGAGAAGAATAAGTCTTAAGGTAAATACAGTTCCCATTTGTCCAAGCAGAGATGAGCGTTTTATTTAACCTTTTATTCATGCGGTACATCATTTCCTGCTTTGGCTGAATGAATGAATTCCTCATACATCTGATGTTTAAACCTCATCAAGCGTATCACAAGAGAGACATTCTATTATTACTGTTATTATATTTCAACTGTAAGATCCTTCAGTTCAAGCATAAAGGATGAAACTCACCGTGACTGGATTGGATAAAAGAAAAGTTGTTTACTGTTTCATCTTTATACCTAATTTGATTTATCACGTATACATGTTACGTAAAGTGTGTTTGATTGAACTTGGATGTTTCCATCCATGTTTTATTGCTGGATCGTAATAAGAGATTATTACTGTTATTATAAAGTGCAGCATATAGTGTCGTAAGTGTTTGAAATGTGGAGGACCAATTACATGAAATAGACTGATCTGCTTCACAGCTCCTCCAACATCTCCCATTCATAAATCTATCTTGCATTAGCACCGCAGGCAGTTCAGCATCATGAATGTTTAAGTGAACACAGAACAGGTCTTCACTCTGGGAGTGTAAAACTTCCAAACGTCCCGGAGCCAAATCAGCTCTACAAGGGATCGAGCAACTATTTCTGAGGTAGAAAGGTGTTCCAGTGAGAACTGTTCACAGCTAGTCTTTTAGGATTATCCTTCCAACCCTTTAAAACCTTTTATGCCTCTGCGTAGGAGACGTTATGTGGTCCGTCCGTCTGTACGGACATACGTACGTTCTCATAAACTCTATATCTCAGGAACACCTTGAGGGAATCTCTATAGATTTGGCGCAAACGTCCACCGTGACTCAAGGATCAGAATTTGGTAGTCAGAGATCATTCTGACCTCACGAAACACATTTTTCACCATAACTCAAGAATTCATGTGCTAATTCTGACATTTTCACGCAAATGTCTAATCAGATAAAATGACCAAGGGATGACATTATGAACAGATATTGATATAAACTGCAACTTGACTGGTTGGCGGTAATTTAAGTATTTTTCTTTTTACATTTTAGATAATGTACAAATGTTTATTCTATCCCTATATTGACCCAGGAACATGAGATCAATACAATAATATTGAAACACGAAGCATCTCTACCCAGTGCACATTTCCACAGATGTTATTGGGCAGCATTGTGTGAGATATGAATAGATAGATGGAGCGATGACGAGGACATTGAAAGTTAACCGGGCTGCCATCTTGCTGTTCTCAGTCAAACACCAGCAGCAACGGTCAGGGCGGGTACAGCCAGCCGGGGCGCCACTCGGTGTCGGTCGAGGTTCAGATGCAGCGGCAGCGACAGGAGGAGAGAGACTCGTTCGCCCAGGCACAGCGGCAGTACAGCTCCCTGCCACGGTAAGAGTGACTGTGTGTGTGTGTGTGTGTGTTTCTGTCTGTCTAACGATCAATATGTGCTACGAGATGGTGTGTGTGTGTTAGTACGTGTTGAATGTTGTCGTGTTCCTGCTGTCTGTCCAATATGAGATGTGTCCAGGAGGTTGTGACCGTGTTTGCATCTATTTTACATCCTGTAATTTAATGTAATGTCTCTCAAGAAGTGATGTGTGTGTGTGTGTGTGTGTGTGTGTGTGTGAGAGAGAGAGTGTGTGTGTACGTTTGTGCACGCCTGTTTGATCATGTCTGATTCATTGTAATAGCCATGTTACAGTAATGATAGCAGATTTTATATATAACATCTGAGTAAGAAAAAAGGGTCACAGCTGGTCAGTCAGACCACAAACACACACACACACACACACACACACACACACTCAGCCTCAGAATGGACGGATCATGTTACCCTATCACACAGATCTGACATGATTGCTTTCCTCTCCCTTAATGTAATTCCCTTTGATCTGCATGATATGACTGCCTGTTGTTCCAGGAAGTGTGTGTGTGTGTGTGTGTGTGTGTGTGTGTGTGTGTGTGTGTGTG